GAGTCTCCCTACCCCCACCACCTATACATCGGGAATTTTCCACCACATCGAAACCAAAGGACCACCAGTCTTTTCACGCCCTCGCCGCCTGCGCCCTGAGCTCCTGAACACAGCCAAAGTAGAATTCAACAAACTACTGCAAGACGGCATCATTCGCCCTTCAAGGAGTCCCTGGGCATCGCCTCTTCACATGGTTCCTAAGCAAACACCCGGCGAGTGGAGGGTGTGTGGCGACTACAGAGCCCTGAATCTCGTCACCAAACCTGACAGGTACCCTATTCCGCATGTCCAGGACTTTCACCACAAACTTCATGGCAAGACTATCTTCTCGAAGATCGACTTGGAGCGTGCCTTCCACCAGATCCCAGTAGCACCGGCAGATACCCAGAAGACAGCCATCACCACTCCGTTTGGACTCTTCGAGTACACTTTCATGAGTTTTGGCTTACGCAATGCAGCACAGACTTTCCAGAGGTACATGGACCATATGCTTCGCGACCTCGATTTTGTCACCGTCTACATTGACGACATCCTCGTCGCATCTTCGACGCCTGCCGAGCACCACCACCACCTACAACTCCTTCTCCAACGCCTGCAGAACAACAACATGAAAGTTCATCCTGCTAAGTGCGTCTTTGGAACCTCGGCCATCGATTTCCTCGGTCACAGAGTCTCGCCCAGTGGCATACAACCCCTACCACAGAAGATAACTGCGATTAAGGAGTTCCCCAAACCTGAAACGGCGAAGAAACTCCGAGAATTCCTGGGTTTAGTCAACTACTACCACCGCTTCATTGACAAAGCTGTCACCGTCCTAGCCCCCCTACACGACCTTCTCAAGGGACGCCCAAAGAAGTCTCACAAGTCTCTCGTGTGGACTCAAGAGGCTGCCACGGCATTCACCACTATCAAACAGCACATTACACGCCTCACCCTCCTGGCCCACCCCGCACCTAACGCCCGGACCACTCTCACAACAGACGCTTCTACTGCAGTGGGCGCCGTCTTACAGCAGGAGATCAACGGAATTCTCATGCCCGTTGCTTTCTTCTCACAATGGCTTCAACCACCACACCTCAAGTACAGCGCCTTTGATCGAGAACTCCTGGCCATATACTTGGCTGTCAAACATTTCCAGCACTTCCTCGAGGCCCGTCAGTTCACCATCTTCACTGATCACAAGCCCCTCGTCCACGCCTTCGCTTCAGCTTCCCAGTCACATACACCTCGTGTCCTGCGCCACTTGGCTTACATCTCAGAGTTCTCCAGCGACGTCCAACACATTAAAGGCAGCCACAACGAGATCGCCGACGCCCTCTCTCGTTGTATATCCAACATTCTTCCCTCATCTCCACCCATTGATTATGGGCAGCTAGCCGCGGCTCAAGAGAAGGACGAAGACCTGGCAGCATACAAGACATCCCCCTCAAGCCTCACACTCCAAGAACTCCCTGTTCCTGGCACAAAGATAAAATTGTGGTGCGACGTATCCTGTGGCCAGCCTAGACCGTTCGTGCCTCACGTCCACCGCCGCGCTGTTTTCGACCGCATCCATGGTCTCAGCCACCCGGGTGTGCGGGCCTCCCAGCGCCTCCTCACGCAACGTGTCGTCTGGCCCGGCATCAAGTCTGATACTAAGAAATGGGCTGCCCAGTGCCTGGCCTGCCAGTCCTCCAAAATACATCGTCACATACGGGCCCCCTTACAAACCTTCCCTATTCCCAAAGGACGTTTTCAAGTAGTACACCTTGACATCGTGGGACCTCTTCCATCATCCTACGGTAGTACCTACATCTTCACCTGCATCGACCGTTTCACCAGGTGGACAGAAGCAATTCCCATGCCCAATGCTACAGCAGAGACTACTGTCCGCGCCTTCATGTCCGGTTGGGTTTCTCGTTTTGGCCCCCCCGCAACCGTAATCACTGACCGAGGAGTCCAGTTTGAGTCACAACTCTGGCAGCACCTCCTACAGTTCCTCGGCACGTCTAGACAACGCACTACAGCATACCACCCTCAAGCCAACGGCATGGTAGAGCGTTTTCACCGGCAGCTGAAGGACGCACTCAAGGCACAGCACAACCCTTACAGCTGGACTGATGCGCTTCCCTTAGTGCTCCTCGGCATCCGTGCGTCACACAAGGAGGATATGGACTGTAGCCCAGCAGATCTTACACTAGGCGAGCCCCTTCGGCTACCCGGGGATTTCTCACTCCCTCCTGACCCTCACCAAACTACTCCAGCCGTTCGTCACAACTTACTCCAAAAGCTACGACAAGCAGTTTCTGCATTCAGAGCTACTGCTCCACGCCAGCCTCCTCGGCGCCCTGAACACATCCCTCCTGCACTACTCACAGCCGAGTATGTTTTCATCAGGCGTGATGCTCATCGCAACCCATTACAACGCCCCTACGATGGACCCTTCCAGGTGGTTACCCGTTCAGCAAAGTTCCTGACGATTATCCGGAATGGCAGACATGACACCGTCAGCATAGACCGAGTCAAACCGGCCACCTTACCCGTCGGGCCCCCAGCCCAGCAGCACCATCAACAAACTACGCCTGCACCAGTCTACCCGCAGTTACCACCGGCAGCAACACCACGCCCACGACATTTCTGGGCACCCTCTTTTCACCCTCATGTACACCCTGTTCCTGCTGTAGAACCTGCTCCTGTCATAGACCCTCTTCCTATCATAGAACCTGAACCTATAATAGACCTCCCTCATGTCATAGAACCTGCTCCTGCCATGGTTCCTCCTCCTGACATAGAACCTGCACCTATCATAGAACCTGTACCTATCATAGACCCTCCTCCTGTCATAGAACCTGAACCTGTAATAGACCTCCCTCCTGTCATAGAACCTGCTCCTGCCATGGACCCTCCTCCTGACATACAACCTGCACCTATCATGGAACCTGCTCCTGCCATGGACCCTCCTCCTGACGCAGCCCCTGCAGCAGCAGGAGCACAACAACCATTGCTTGTACAACCTCTTCTAATCCCAAACCCTCTTTCTCCTCCTAATTCTCCCACAGGTTTTGTGTCACTGGAGGGAGTTGTTACACGTAGCGGCCGAGTCGTACGTACACCTGCCCGGTATGTGTTATGTGTGGGACACAACCCGGACAACATCCAGCCTCCCGCCGCGCCGGGAGGGGAGGGGGAGTATTGTAGTGGCTCCTCTCCCCTACAACTTCCAACTGAGCTCCGGCCGCACGCCGACCAGCCAATCAGCGTACAGCCAGCTGCGCCGAGAGACTAGGTCTATGCAGAGGACGTAGGGGTACGATCGCCGACCTAGTCTCGACCATCAACCTCCAGTTCAGGATCAGAGCGTTTCACACCTTACGCTTGAGCCGCTGTGATTAGTCCTCTCGCTACGCGCACCCCAAATCCTGATCCTGGTAAATTGTATAAATACGGCCACGCCTGCCCAGGGAGGACATTCTACACTCAGCTACTGGACCAGCAACATCTCTCACAGCTCCTCACCTAGTCACTCCTAAGCACTGCGCTGTACAAACAATATATATACAGAAAGCGCATCGTGAGTTTCTGTCCTACCTCATTCCTGAGTGGCTACATCTACATGTACGTACGTTTGTGTGCCCATACAACTAAAGAGAATTGACAACTGGCCACTTACAGTACGCTACAGGTCACAGCTCAAGATTGAAGAAGCCGCAGGTCCAGAAAACTGTGAGGGCAAACTTTTTCTGAGTAAGAGTTGTGAACTCTTGGAACAATCTGCCAGAGAGTGTTGTGACGGTGTGGGGTAAGGTATGTTTGGTTCACACTCAGGATGGGATGGAGAAAGGAAACTCACAATGTGCTCTCTGTATACATGTTGTATTGGATGTACAATGCACCTTGGTGCTGGGAAATGGCAGCGTGGTTACAAGCGTGATGTAGAGAGAGCTGGTTGGTGAGGGTGCTCAGAGGAGGACCAGCTTGTGGGTCGCCATGCTCGCCGGCGGGAGCGAGGGCCACCAGGCAAGAGTTGAGGAGGTGGTGTTGCTTGCTGGTTGGTGTAGGTAGAAAGAGAGGTAGGTCATCACGAGGTCAGGTCTTATATAGCGTAGGTAGGCGTGGCTTATAGTTGACCTCCGTCATGTAAGGCGGCGCTGGTTGACCTAGACCACGAGGCATACACTGGGGAATTCGCGGGGTCGGCTACTCAGCGACAAGCGTTTGTAGGGGAGGAATCCACTACAACGGCACCGAGTGTGAGTTCTTTCAAGACCAGACTTGACCACAGGTTCAGGTACATTCAGGAGCCGGTACATGCCCAGTACTTGCCAACAGTGCGTAACAGAGACGTGACTGATCGCCCAAGCGGCTAACGAGCCGATCAGTGGTGAAGAGGATAAAGGAAAAAGAAAAGAAAAGTATTTCCACTGGGGTCTTTATGTGGGGGTTGAGGTCACTAGTCAATAATGATAAATAATAAATATGTTCACTGCTCTAATAAATGCCTTACTGATCTAAACCCCGAATCTGTATAAAATCATATTTAAGATATTCTGGACACTTAGTGATAAAAAAAAATACGTTTTAATTTGAGGTGTTACTTTATCTGATACCATACCACATACAGTACCTGTCCCAGAGGAGTTATTTGGGTAATTTGTTATAATGATGTATATATCAATAGTGGCTAGATTTACTGAACGAAACTGAATACAATTATATTTGTACAAGAAATAAAAAGTGACATTTTAATTAAAAATAAATAATATTTTTTTCACCAACATTGACAGTTTGTACAAAGCCAATGTAAATATCTTATATATGCATCATGTACCTGTGAAGCAAGTGATATTTATATGTTTCTCTTACATACATTTTGACAAATTTGTAATGTAGTTATAGGAATATTAAATACATCATTATTTTAACAAGACGTAAGGTAAATATATGAACGATTATAAAATATATACATATAACATATAAAGTTATCAGTATTGTGAGCAGGAAATAAAATCTTGAGAGCTGTCAGTGGCCGAGAAGGGAGCAGGTGATGGGAGGTGATCCACACTGTTTATCTCCCTCCAGTGAGTTACTCAGATAACCTACCCACAGAAAGGTATTATTTAAGTTAGTTCCTTCCTTAAGTGACGTTATGTTTTGGAGAAGAACGAAGAGGAAGGTGATGTTAAGGTGGCAGTGTCTGGGGTGAAGGACATGTCACTGTCTCTACAATAGTTTTAATTATAGTTTTCTCTTGAAATAATTAAACAAAAGATAACCTAACCTAACCGATTCCCTGGATGACCTGAAATAAAATAACCCTTGTAGTTATGGTCAGTGCCACAATCAATGAACCAGCGGTAAAATTGCAGCTTTTGGCCATTATGCCCGAGTAGATTATAAATTAGTTTGTCAGTGTATTTTTGGTGTGATTTAATCTAATTTGACTTTAGTTTCCAGTGGGAAGAACTGTACCCGTTTTAGAGTTCTCTCTCCCCCAAAAGTATGGGAAAACTTTTAAATTTATTTCTGACGTTATTATTTCTTGCCCCTGGTTGAAATAGGGTCAGAAATACTCCAAATAAGGAGATCGAAAGGTTGGGGATGGTTAAAACAGCCGGCCGTGTATTGGCCCAAACTGCAATAATACCAAACCAACCTTTTATACGTACTAGTGTTCTTATATTGTAATCTGGAAAAATATAAAAAAATCTGGTAAGATTGCAGATTACAGCAACCTAACCTAACCAAGCCTAACCTAACCTAACCTAACCTAACCTAACCTAACCAAGCCTAACCTAACCTAACCTAACCTAACCTAACCAAGCCTAACCTAACCTAACCTAACCTAACCTAACCTAACCAAGCCTAACCTAACCTAACCTAACCTAACCAAGCCTAACCTAACCTGTGATCATAGAAAAAATAGAACTGTCGATTGGGTGTAGTGAAGTTCCGGAATTCTGTGGTTGGTGGTTGTTGCAATATTACCCAAATCTTAAGGAACCTTCAAGACAATGTTATGTTTGCACAAAACTGCGAACATCACCGCACAAGCTGATGTTGTTGCTGTAAACGTGACTTAGGGTGATGGTGGTGTCGCCTCGGCAGCTGCAGATTTAACTGAAAAACTTGTAAAAGTGTTATTATGTTAAATGTAATCCTTGTGTATTTGTTCTCATTTCCTCAAGATAAAGGGAACGTGGTCAGCAATAGAAATAACTTATGGGTTTGAACCCAAATTTCTGGACGTACTATTTGTATGATGTTCAACACGATGATAGAAACATCAACCTGACTTAACCACTTAACCTTACCTAACTTCAAGTTGGGTAATTGGTCAATTTTTACATGTGGACTCTCAATTAGTTTTAAGTTTTTTATCAAATGCTAAAGATATATCTTATCATTCCAAGTAACTTTCATTCTATACACTTTTGTTGCAAATGAATAATAATGAACCTAATGGAACCTGACCTAACCAACCAAAGAAACCTACCTAACCTTACCTTAATTCCTAGCCGGGGTGGACCCCCTCTATATTAAACAAAGTATTTTTTATATTATCTGGTACCAATGTGTTTTTTGTGGACGATAGAGTATGCTCGGACCGAGTGGGTTAGTTGTGGACCCCAGGGCCGACCTGATCATCATCAGACTACTGGGGCCTCAACTGACTCCACCGCTGTTGCTGGAGGATCGGCTTTTTTCACACTTCATTTTTCCAACATTCGCGGACTGAGATCCAATTTTCCTTCTGTGGAGCACCATCTATTAACCTCTTCCCCCGACCCCTTACTACTATCTGAACTTCAACTGACCAAAGCAGCTTCACCCAAACCTTTTCAAGTCTCCAACTACAGCCTTTACACCTCCTTCCGTTCTAAGGGAGGTGTATGGGCCTACTGCAACACACGTACACCTATAGTTTTTCCTGACAGCTGCTGCTCTTCACCCACCACCCTGATGATATAAGATAACCATTGACAAGTTCACCTAACATGTTGTAGTTATCATCTATTATACAAAAATTGTTCCTGAGGATAAAACAAAATACAGTACTGCAGACGTAAGCAGTGTCACGCGATGCACCCGGCCGCGTATGTTCGGCACGGCTAATATTTTGAGAATTTTTGGTCGCGTTCGTGTGATAAGAAAGCATTTATCTCCCAGAATAACGCCTAAAGCTGCTGGTTAAGGGCTACAGCTCTCATAAAGTATTACCTAATGTTGTTGGCAGCTTAACAGATATGATACTGTATGTTTATTTTTGTTTATAGAAGCAAATTTGGTGGAGACAGGAGTGAGTGAGTCAGGTTTTAAGACTAAAGTTTAGTACATGAGGAATAAGGGCTGTTTAGAACACTTGTGAAGGGTGCTACAGGTGGTACAGTACAGGGGGTCCCCGGGTTACCAACGGGTTCCGTTTCTGAGGATGTTTGTGAGTTGGATTTGTCCGTAAGTTAGAATACGTGCTATGTGCAGACCGTACTTACAGAACAATGTTTAAAATCCCACTATAACACAGCCTAAGTCCTTATACAGATCCTCCCACTCTTACGACCTGTCTCAGTCGTACCAAATTTCGTAGAATTACGTATTTTCGAGTCCCGAAAATCAGTGCACAGGCAAATTTTTCGTTTGTAATTCATTTTAAAATGGCTGGCAAGTTTAAAAGTGAGTGTTTTGTGGTGCTGAGAAGAAAAAGAGACACCCATTTTAGATTTTCTATGTATTATTTAAGCATTTCCGATTTACGACCTGGATTTGGGTCCCTAACCCCGTCGTAAGTCGGGGAGGAGCTGTATACCTCTAAAATCACTTGATTTAAGACAAAAGAAGAAATAGAATGACAAAATACAGTAAATGAGAGTAAAAAATAAGTCATCAGGTAAATAAAAAAGTGTAAAACCTCATTCATATCAGTAGGTGTTCGGGGGACCTCTTGTAGTTTTTGCACTCCTCTTCAAGGACGGTATTTTGGACATTTTATATTAGAATAAAACTTTTATTTTAACTTTTCAGAATTAAACATTAATTGTTGCACAGTAAGAGATAAATACTATACTATATCAACATAACAAAGCAAATTCCACGAGTTTTGGATAAATGTCGGCAACTTTTGTTTCATGATCATAGGAACTACCACCACCAGTACTGTGTGTAGTTGCCACCTATCACATTTGTTCTCAAAATTTTATAAATAGTATAGTCTGCATTTACGCGGTCAATTGAACCCGTGGAGATCTGCGTAAAACGAGAAACGCGTAAACGAAATAACAGAGCATATGGGATTAATTGCAATAGAGACTGGGCCGACCCCCAAACTCCACTTTTTCCGACACAATACGTACCTTGTAATAAAAATAACATCTTAATTTTATGATGGTATGCACAATTAATATTTAAGAGAAATATCAATAATATTAGATTTTTTAACACTTACATTAGTAGAAGAGATGGGTCGGCACACGTGGATGGCGGTTGGTTCCAAGGCAGAGGGCAGATTAGTTGCCCTCCGGTGAATCACTTTCACTACTCGCAGAGGTTTGCAGGGCCTCCCAGACAAACCCCTCAAAGTCCATATCGTCACTATCACTGACTTGGGCTGGCTGTGGTTGTGGTGGGTTGCTGGCGAAGAAGTCCTTAATATTACGTTGACGACTAGCATTGATGTTGTCGAGATAGATCTGGACAAACGGCTCCATAACTTTCGTCAGATGGTTATTAGACTCTTCATACTGATGCTTGTCTGGGTCGTTGTCAAGGATGAGCTTAATTTTCTCCCCCAACTCGATGATTTCCTTCACATTATCATGGCTTGGTCCAGGTAATTCAAGGGTTTTCTCTGGTGGTGGGGGGTCCTGCTGAAGCCATTGTGAGGGGAATAGCGGGCACAAGAGAGAACTGTATACGCGGACTGAGAACAATGAGACAGGCCCGGCTAGGTCAGCGACTTCTACCGTCTGGTGGCAGGGCACGTCATGTTACATTAGACCAATCACAGCTAGCGGCGGAGGGAATGCGTGGGTGGTAAGGATGCGTAGCCCAATCACAGTCCGATACGTCATATGACTTCAGCGATAACGTAAGAGCGGCACCACTCACCGCGCCGCTTCCTGCGTATGGTCAAGAATGGACCGCGTGGGCAAAAGATGGCGCGGCGGTCTGGACCTCTCCAGCCGCTTGCCACGTAAATGATGAAATTTACCGCGTAATTAAAACATTTCGTTCTGGCAAGGCACCGCGTGAATGACCAAACTCGTAAACAAAAACCGCGTAAATCCAGACTATACTGTAGTTAAATTAATTGATTTTCCCTTTTTTCAGTATCTTATGGTGGAGTAGTTGGTTAGATTTGGTTTGGTAGGATAGGTAGGTTTAGTTGGTTAGATTAGGTTTGGTTGGTTAGATTAGGTTATGGGAGGTTTGGCAGGATAGATAAGGTTATGGGAGGTTAGGTTAGTTGTTAGGTTTTTAACTCCTTGTGTACAGTGTCTCTGAGCGGGTTAATATCATCTGGTGTTAGTCAATAAATTGTGACAGGTGGCGTGTCCATAGTGAAGGAGACGAAGAAAACACTACTGTACTGTACCTCATAATTGTCTGGTTCTTATGATGGAACAAAACAATGGTGACAAGAGCAATGTGTCTAGGTTTGTGTTGGGGTGTTTAAACACTGGGGGAAATAAGCTGGGGTGCCTAACCTTCAGGTGAACTTTCTTACCAGTATCTAAAATAGTAGGGGGTTCAAGTGGCCTAAAAACACAATACTGTGCATGTAGGCTGTTTTGAGTACTGTACTAAGGTGGCCCCCATATATTACATCTTCAGCTTGTCTTGGAGTGGATATTTACATTGATTAATTAATTGTTTTCATTTCACTACTTATGAGTTCACTAGCCATTCTTTGTTATGTTCCTCTTGTCCAGTGTTAGTACAGGAGGAAACTGGGATACCCATAGGAGACCTGCCATGTTGGGTGGTGTTACACTGACTAACACCGTACCCATGTTTACCCAGGACACAGTGGTGAGAGAGTGTTTGGTCAACGGAAGTTCTGTACAGTGCTGCATCAAGTCAATATCTGAATTACTCCTTTACAAATTTTTTCCTTTGACAATAAAGAAAAAGAACCACCAGAAATTTAATACTGTAGATATAGAATTATTTAGTGTATATAACAGAACAATAGTACTGCACTGTAGCTCTTGATATTATCGTAAATGAAAGAGGGAAGAATTCAATTGTAGTTAATCTGCAAGTTTCGTGGCATTTTAAGACAAGTTGTACAAGTGTGGAAAGGTTCATAATCCAGCTGGGAAGAAGTTTTTTAGTTTAACAAATTTATTGACAAAGCTTGGAGTACAGTTTGCCTATTCTGAGTAATTCAGTCAGATCTTAACACTGAGGGTGGTATCACTTCTCACTGCCACGCAGGACAGAGGTTCATACACAAAGAGATACAACATATTCATTAACAGCTATACAGCTCCTCCCCGCCTTACGACCTACTCGACTTACAACCACACCCGCACTTACGACCTGTCTCAGTCGTACCAAAATTTGGTCAAATTATGCATTTTCGAGTCCCTAAATCAGTACACAGACAAAATTTTCTTTTGTAATTCACTTTAAAATGGCTGGCAAGCTTAAAAGTGAGTGTTTTGTGGTGCTGAGAAGAAAAAGAGACCCATTTTAGATTTTATATGTATTATTTAAGCATTTCCGACTTACGACCATTTCGACTTATGACCTGGATTTGGGTCCCTAATCCAGTCGTAAGTCGGGGAGGAGCTGTATATATAGAGGTCAGATTCATGTGGGTAATGTCACTATTCACTGCCATGCAGGACAGAGGTTTGTACACAAAGAAATACATCATATTCATTAGCAGTATACTGTATATAGGTCAGAGTCGTGTGGGTGATGTCACTGTTCGCTGCATGTAAGGCAGTGGTTCATATACATTGGACGTCGTATTCTAATTGAAGACTAATCAGTGAGGGCTAGCAAATTTGGGATAAACAGCGAGAATGTCCTCAAGCACCCCCGATTCAATATAGTAATTACAAAGTTGTATTGTATCTTGGAAGAAGGACTCGGTATAGATTGTGGGACCAAAGTAAGTCTTTTAATAGAATGTGCAGGATATTAAGAGTGAAGTAAGAGTTTACAATGTACAGTACTGTAGGTAAGAGCTGTTAATATTCCTTTTCACATGTTTCAGATGCCAGCACAGTCCACATGACTCTATTTGGACTATAACCACTTAAAATGGATGAACAAAAGGCTGACGACCAATCAAAACTACAATCTGAAGAGAATGTACAAATCGACAAGATCGTCGATGATGACGGCGAACTCCTGCCGTTGGATCGGCCGGGTCCACGGGATATTGAACAAACAAGAATGGAAAATGAAACTCTTCAAGCATTACCGTTAGAAAGGTCCAGTGAGATGTTAGTTAATAAAGATGATGATACAGTGACGAGTGGTGGGTCGTCACGGTCCAGGGAGAGTGAAGGTGTGGAAGACTGTCAAGGGGAAGGTTCTTGTGCTTCAGAAAAACAGAATTCAAGTGACGTGAGAATAGTGGAGGAAACAGTCAATACAGAAGAGAGAATGATGAATGTTGCAGAGGAGGAACTGATGTTAACCAACAGTGTTTTACGAGATGATAGTGTTGTAGAGTTTTCCCTGGAATATATCCCAGACAGTGACACCAGAGGAATGGAGAACAATTTACAACAAACTGAAGTAGATTCTGTATATTGTAGTAGCACTGAACCAGACTCGTCCAGACACAGTAGAACCTGGCGTTACCCAAAGTAACCAAGTATTAACTTTACCATCCCATCCTGTACTGAGGATCCCAAAACTTCTAGTTGTCTTCTCACCGAAATTGAAAGCCTTCTGACGACAGCAGTAATGAGTGTAGTCCGATTCTGACTTTGAGATCAGCAAAGTGGATTTCTCCTCCACCCCAAAAGAAAACCTGATGAGGATGTTGTCGTGTTTATTAGCAGGTGTGACACATTGAAGAGGGAGAAGGCCAGGTGAGTACCAGGCTAAACTACACAAGGTGTAGGCTACCACAAGGTGTAGTATACCACAAGGTGTGGTCTCTTTTGACCACAGTATTAATAACTAAGCCAGTGTAGTGTAAACCAACAGTCACAAATCATGACAATTGTTATAAGTTGTAGTTCTTTGTTGCTGTGATAAGTTACACCACACTCCCCAGAGCCACTGTTGAGGCAGCTGACACTGAGCCTTACTGTGTACAGACTGTGAATGTAGTTTTATTATAGTACTGTACAGTTTATAATTAATGTAACTTGTCAACAGTGGAAGTGTAAATAATGTGTAGGCGTGTACTGTAGGTTAGGTGGCGTAAGTACTGCATAGTTATTTTTTTGTTTATATTCTTTAGGAGCAGCACTGAACATTATGGTGTTTAAATAAAAGAAGATAAGTCATACAATATTAATGATCAGATGAAGGACATTGCTCTTATCTCTGAAATATCTTGAAGTAGTGTGGTTAACCTATCATAACCTACCCATATATACCTTAATCCATACTCTTCTCTCCAGGCTAGAGGGTGAAGTGGACGCCTTGAAGCTGACCACTGCGTCTAGGTCTCGCCTCACAGATAGAAGCCCTCGAGGAGCTCTGCGCCCAGGTGACTGCAACGTACAAACACACATTTTGTTTTTTTCGCGACCTCCTTCAATACTCTCTGTTTACATCTGTTACAATAAAGTAGTGGTGACCTCCCTCCTCTACCTCTGTTGACCTCCTCCCTCTACCTCTGTTGGCCTCCCTCCTCTACCTCTGTGGCCTCCCTCCTCTACCTCTGTTGACCTCCCTCTCTACCTCTGTTGGCCTCCCTCCTCTACCTCTGTTGGTTGACCTGAGTAATAAAGCTCTATGTGTGCAGAGATGGTCATAGTGAACCAATTAATAGCAGTTGTTATGGTTGACTTAGGAGGATCATTGTTTTTGTGTTAACCTAATTAATGGTCAGTTAATAGCTCTTGGGCTTTACAGTGTTTTGTATAAATGTCTGACAAATGTAATTGATAGAAATTGAAAGAGCACTGAACAATATCTGCATTTGCTTGCAGGCACAGGCAGATGCATGTAGTTGGCAACAAAAACACATCAAGCAGAGGAGAGTTACATGTCGAAAATGTCAAGTCGCTCGGATCTCACGACTCGTCTTGAGCGCATGACACGAGAGTGCAGTGGCAAATAAAGACAAGGAATCGATGGTGCGTCAAATATGCGACTTCAGAAAGGGAGGTGAGTGGTGTTGGACCAGAAGTGGTATATGGGTTCTTCTAAGCTGAGCAGATTATTACCTGTGGAAAGACTCGGCTCGTGTTATTAAACATCCTCCTTGAAGAGGGTCGATGGAGTGTTTCAACCCGAGTTTTAAACTATATGAGTCCTGAAACAGGCCTCTTCAAGGAAGATGTTGTTTAATAATACAGGCGTAAAGGTATTGCATCCTTGACAGTTAGGAATATAAGTTAAAGCTGAATTTCCCATTTTTATCATTTCATTGTATTTTTTTCTCACTTCCTTAATTTAATCTTTGCAGTTTCTCAGTACTATAGTATTCAGTTCTTTATTAGTTCTTTATTTAGATCTTGACATTTTTCCAGGTCATTGTGGCCAGAAGCAGAAGAAGCAGTCGAGAAAAAGATGAAGGAAATGGAGAGAAGACAGCTCATTGCCAAAACTAAAATGTTAATATCGGACAAGCTTCGCATCTGCCAGACCCTCGATACCAAGGTGGGTGACCTGCGTTTATGTTCCTTGATCGCCCGTGTCTTAAGTCTTTATCTTAAATGTGAGTTTCCTCTACCTTCATAAACTCTCTCACATTTTATGATGATGTAGTCCCTCATAATTTTTCCAGAGAGTTTGCAGGTACAGTATTTGAAGCTCACCTGATTGGTCTTTGGGTTTTCTTACTACGTCGCTCTTTCTACACCCTTGGATGTCGATGGTCTGAGTATTTCCTAAATATTGTACAGGTTGCAGGCTTGAGTGGAGTGTGTATCTCATTCACTGACTCTTTCATCACCTTGTTCTCTGAGCCATCACTCCTCCAGCTTTGAATTCCTGCAGGTTGGCTGGCGTCCGTCTTTTCTGGCGATTTCATTTGCAGTCGTTATTCCTCTTGGTTCACGTCCAGCACCTGAAGTACCCACAAGTGTGATTCTTCTGGGTGCTGGCATGTTATCCACTGTCTTTGTCAACACTGATGTACATTATATGAGGATCTCCATATGACACCAAATTCCAAAAGCTGAAACGCATTTAAAGTTTTTGAAGTTCAAACACCCAGAACTGTTTTTTAGCTAGAGGTTTTTTTTTTTTATCGTGCAGCTCAATCCTCTCTAGCGAACTGTGGAAACTGGAAGTTAGTTCTGTGAATAGTTATTATTTTATCAAGAGTTGAATGAGAATAACTACCTGTGATGTACAGTTGTTTGAGCTTGAAACCAACAATAATCGCGTTTTTCTGCTAAACTTTCTTATTATTGTTGGCTAATACTGAAAACAAGTTAATAATCACCATCAGACACTTGTCTTACACCCCCCATAAACCTCCCATTAACCCAAAAGAATAAATAATAATAAAAACTCATTTGCTTATCAGTATCTATCTTTTGGTTCCTATTATTAGCCAAGATTTACAATGTTGTTAAGTAGAATAATAGTAAGGAAGCACCACTACACTCCCCCACCATTAACCCCCCTCACGTATTAACTACGAATACAAACGCGGAGAAAGTTTGCATAATCTTTAGTAACAGTAATATGATACAGGTTGACAACCCTTCATCCGAAATTCCGAAAACCGAAAGTTTTTGTGGAGCAATGTTTTTTTTTTTTCTTTCTTCTTGTATTATAACCACCGGGCAGAGTCACTGACCCACATCAGGGCCGGGGGGGAAAATGTAATACGTAATAATAATAATCATAATAATAATAATAATAATAATAATAATAATAATAATAATTATAAATACAGTTGTACCTACTTAGCGGTCAATTGAACCCAGAGGGTCGCGTTAAGTGAAATCATGATTAAGTGAACAGAACATATGGGATTAATTCAGCAAAACCGGCCCGACCCCAACTCCACTTTTGAAGGCACATACCTATGTTGTAAAAATAACATCTTAATTTTATGATGGTACATGCACACAAATATACTTAAGAGAAATAGAAAATATTGTAAAGTTATCCATTCAAATAATGGACTCAACCCTCCTCTCACACTACACAGCCGGCTAACAGATGGTCGGTCGGTCCCTCCCCCCCCACCAACCGTCCCAAGGGAATGTGGGATAACCTCAAACTAAGAAAAAATATAATTGACATTGCTGGATTCCTTGTAAGACCAGGAATATTTTGAATATAAATGTCATATATTTTGCAAAAAGATAACATAGTTACCTAGAAAAAATTTTTATCTAAAAATTGTAAGTTTAAAACAAAATATATGATGTTTATATTCAAAATGATCACCAAATTATAAGAATTCCAGCAATGTAAATTATATTCTGACCGGGTAATTTGTATGAATTTTATGAGCTAAAACAAATATCTTCAGTTAATAAAAAAAAATAATAATTCTTCAGGGGTAACAGATGGTCGGTCGGTCCCTCCTCCCCCACCCCCACCAACCGTCCCAAGGAGATGTGTGGGATAACCACTAAATTTTAATAAATAATACCTCAAACTAAAGTTAGGATAATATAATTGACATTGCTGGATTCCTTGTAAGACCAGGAATATTTTGAATATAAATGTCATATATTTTGCACAAAAGATACCATAGTTACCTAGAAAAATTTTTATCTAAAATTGTAAGTTTAAAACAAAATATATGATGTTTATATTCATAATGATCACCAAATATAATTCCAGCAATGTAAATTATATTCTGGCCTGAATAATTTGTATGGATTTTATGAGCTAAACAGGCAGTCAGGAAGATGGCGGGTGGGGCAAATCTAAAAATAAGCGTCTAGGACACTCACGACGTATATCTGAGAAAAAATCCTGCGTTATCACGGCCTATAAGACAAAATTTGAACATTAAAAAAATCTGCCCAAATAGAAATTGATCGTCTAAACCACCAAGTTTAAATTCTTACCTCTTAAATATTGTGGTTTAGTGTGTCAAGAGTGGTGATGAAAACATCAAGCCACTCACAAGGTCCACCACTAATTTTTATACTGAAACTTACCTTTGAAAGCTGGATTCAAATTAAGATTACGGTATATTAAAATAATAAATGTATTATAAACCTGTCTAACATACCGTAAAGATTACTACCCCATATAATAAACAGCTAACAATACATCCCTCCACGCCCCCCATTTGCCAGTGAGAGACAAGAAAGGGAAAGTGACTCTAGAGATTGGGCTATTTTTGGCAAGTGGAGGTGGTCAGTAATGCATACCGGTATCGGTATATTTACTCATAATAATATTTATCTCCTATAAATAATTGATTTAATTATATTTTTCCAGAATATTCAGTAAATGAGTGCATTAATTCTGGAAACTATCGACGGTTAATTACAGACCTCAAGTGACGTCACTAGTGTTTACACTACACCAACTGGTAATATTTGATGCCATTACTTGAAGTGAATTGGCCTTATTTTGTAACTAACTATAAATAAATACAAAAATTAAAAAAAAGTCAAAACTGAGAAATAATATACTGTATGTATGTTGTGTTGTCAAAGTAAGAGAACAATTGCGTAAGTACGTATTATTTTTTCACTCAAATCCTAAATGAAACACTACTGGAGAACATTCTTTGCTCATAAACAGTTTATAAATTAAAGAAAATAATTACAGTGTTTAATATATTACAGTATATTATAAATAAATAATAAAAACAAATAATTCGTAAATCTATTTAAAGTAAATGGAAAATAAGCAAACATGTTATTTACCAAGGCACTTCCGTCTGGCTCAGGGTGAGATGGAGGGAGATAACAAGGCGCTATTTATAGCCCATCTGAAGTAGCCAGTACCCTAATGCACCATAAATAATTCATTGAACACATTTCATTTTTATAAGTATATTCAGTATATATATATATATATATATATATATATATATATATATATATATATATATTATATATATATATATATATATATATATATATATATATATATATATATGTGTGTGTGTGTGTAATAAATGTATGTAGTAAGTACATACTAGTAAACTTTTTCCTCAAATCCCTAATGAAACACCACAATTAGAATACGGTGGTTGCTGTAAATGCTATCTGTTATATTAGAACCTACACCACCGAGACGAGGAACACTCCCACCACGCTCAGTGACGTCACTAGTGTTTACACCAACAAATAATTTGATGACATTACTTGAAGTGAATTGGCCTTATTTTAAAAATCAAGGATGGTTGGTAAGGACTACTGAGTCAGTGGGTAAGTGTCACATTTGGGGTACTGGTCTTATGCAACTATGAGCTCAAAAGCTACTTTTAAATGGAAATTTGGGCGTCTTATCACCGCCGCTTCTCCTAGACAAAGTGATCTCTGAGGATTCAGCTTATGGCAAAGCACCGCTATATCTGCAGATTAAGTGAAACAGCGTTAGGCGGGGGTAAAACTGTAATAATAATAATAATAATATATATACAGTTGGGTATGCTATAACGAATCTAATTGGTTCTAGAACCTGTTAGTTAGCATTAGATTATTAATGGATTAATCCGTTCCAGGCCCCAAATACAAACTTAACACTGAAAAATATAACATAAAATTGTAAAATTGTAAAAGATGCATAAATATGCATCTAAACCCTGAAATAAGAATATCATTAATATTTGTAATAAAAAACAATAAATTAAATTAAATAATGTTAGTTTGTAGGGTTTTAGATTGATTATAGCATTCTCAATTTTAGGTAAAACCGTTAATTATAGAATATTACGTAGTAGGATCCGTTCGTTATAGCATACCCACTGTAATAATAATAATAATAATAATTATTCATAGTAAATAAAATTTTAATAAAAATGCAAAAATAAAATAGAATGATAACAATAATAATAATAATAATAATAATAATAATAATAATAATAATAAAATTAATAATAATAATAATAAAATTAATAATAATAATACTGTAATAATAAAATAATAATAATAATAATAATAAAAAATAAGAATGAAAAGATCCAAAAGTGACCTAGACCTATGAATTATTATTAATTACAGACAGATTGCCCGAACTAGTTTATTAGGCACCACCCATCCTGTGCAAGGTGAAACAGAAGCGTTTAGTAACAGGGAAGCATCTGAGTTCATGCTTGGCTTCATGACTCATGCATTAAGGACATAAAAGCCTGAAGGGTCATGGGTTTTGTCAGCAAGTTACGTGACAGAATGATGGTGTGTGGGAGAATTCGGTACAATTGTCTAGGCTTAACAAAGTGTGGTCCCTAGTGCCAGGCCTGTCACTAGGAGGGGATATCTGGTCAGGGAGGGTGTTGGTAATGACTGAGGGACTGTAGGAGTCATAGGGCAAAGTGAGGATGTGGAGGGTGTGAAGTCGGGTTGACCACAAAGTTTACAAACATTATTAATATTTTTAACCCTCAGGCCACAATGGAGGTCAGTGACCTGTGGGGTGGTCTGATCCTGTAAATACACCTGCTCACTCTGGAATCCAGGTGCATAAGGGATTGTCAACTAATAGTATTACAATCTTGCTTTGTTTAG